TCTGATTTTACCCGTAAGGGATAAAACCAGCAGAAACGTGAGTAATCGTCTACAAATAGCAGAAAATATCTAAAACCACTAGTAGAGATTACAGGAGTCGGGCCCCATATATCTGTATATAACAAGTCTAATATATTTTTGCTAGAACAATCAACCCTATCTAATGGGAATATAGAAGCTTTGCCAAGATGACACGAAGTGCACGACCCCAACAACTTGGTTTTATTTGGTGCTACCGGACACGACTGTAGGACGCGATTTTGAACATGGCCATTTGGATGTCCCAAGCGGCGGTGCCAAACCGTGGGAGTTGCCCGGGTAGTAAGATACACGAAATGAGACCGGGAGTTTGTATAAGCCACCCGATGTGGAACCTCTAAGCAGTACCGCCCTGGTGATTGTATCATTCACAATAAAGCAATCTTTGTGAAATTCAACAAACACATTATTTTCATTTGTAAGACGGTAAATAAACAATAAAGGCACAGATAATTTAGGGATGTGTAACACATTAGACAAACGTAACAATTTAGACGCGGATGGTATAGTAGCATGACCAACACGTGAAATCATCAAACCTGCGCCATTACCCACGCGAAGAACATCACCTCCGGTATACTCGTCAGATTGAGACATCATGGACGCGTCCGGGGTGGCATGAGCCGATGCCCCGGTATCTGGAAACCACCCTGACGCCGTGGGTGTTGCCGCCGAGTCTTCACCGGAAACCACCAAATGAGCCTCTGCCGGCCGCTGCGACGCGTAGCGCTTGTAGCAATAGATCGCAGTGTGGTTGTACGCGACATATCTGGCGGCACGGCGCACCACCACGTCCTCCACGCCCGCGGCCCTGACCTCCCCTGCCTCGGCCTTGGTCTCTATGGTCGCTATTACCTGACCCGCCTCGCCCACTGTCGCCACCATTGCGGCGACCTCGTCCAACGAACATAGCCACCGGAGCAGTCACCATTCCAGCATCAGGCCCGGCCGGGAAATCCTCCGAATAAATAAACTCCTGCGCTTGCAGGTAGTCAGAGATTTGAGGGTTCGTAATGGGCGTACCTTTCGCCGTAAGGGAAGACGCCATGGCGCGGTACTCTGGGCGCAAGCCGCAGAATACGAACAAGTTTTGTTCGTCAAGAGATATGAGGCGACCGGCATGCGCGAGATCTTCCACCAGAAGTTGTGCGTGACCCAAGTACTCAGCCGCGCTACTATTTCCCTGCCGGAGTGAATGGAACTGTCCAAGCAGACTCAAGCATCGCGCCCACGTTAAGCTCTCGAGCGCTGCTCCAATGGACTCCCAGACGGCGCGTGACGTGATCCTCTCGACGGCCAAATGCATGACCTCATCGGAAAGTGAGGAAATCAACAGTGATAGAAGGGATTGATCCTGCTTGATCCACGCCCGGTACGCCGGATTCGGGATCGGCGTCGCAGTGGTCGCGTCAGAGGCGGAGTCGCCGGAGACTGGAGCGGGCGGGATGGTCGGCGGTGGACATGGTGTCTCGCTATCGACATAACCGAGGAGTTCCTGGCCACGGAGGAAGGGCACCAGTTGCGTTCGCCAAAAGAGAAAGTTGCGATACGTCAACTTTATCGAGACAAAGTGGTGAGCGCTAGAGAGGAAATTTGAGTTGGGGTTTGGGAGGGTTGCGTCGCCGGCGGTCACCGTCCGTTCGGACGAGTTGGTTGACATGGTGAGTGGCCGGCGGTTTTGGGAGAGGAGGTAACGATCGGAACACGATCGATGAAGGTGAGAGGAGAGAGAAACGGACCTGGACTGATACCAGATGAGATAAACGATCACAGCTTCAATTCCAATACAATCGAGATTACAAAACAATAGACTAAATACAATAGCGTAAACTAATCCTATCTATCATAAAAGCCATAAATAACTAACCTAATACAAAGACTAGTCAAACAAGTAACACAAATAATAATGTAAATAATAACATTGCTAACACGTTAGGACTATGTCCTTTCGGAAGAAAAGATATAAGATCGGATAGAACCGACAAAATAGTGAAAAGAGAATGTAAAGACATAAACGGACATTGCGATCCGATATGAAGTAACGAGGTAGATATTCCCGAGTTACTAGGTTGGAAACTGCCCACCAGGCTTGGAATCCTGGTCTGGGGGTGTGCACACTGATAGTTCGATACCTGATTCCACAGAGTTTGAGAAAAGAACCAAGATAGTGGTTCTGTGGGCGAGATGAGTATTAGGCCGGCTAGATGCCGAGCCCATATAGGCCCATTCACATTATGGTGAAGTCCTACCTCACCCGCGAGTATAAAGAAAGCGAGTCATTGCGACTCTAAAGAAAGCAAGTCATTACGACTCTAAAGAAAGCGAGTTATTGCGACTCTAGAGAAAGCGAGTCATTGTGACTCTAAGAAACCTCCACAGAAAAGTGTTCTTTTTGCAAAAGAGTGTATACGTATACCTACCTATACTTATACTAAAGCATCATGTTCATTCTATTGCATGATCAAGTTAAGTGCACGAGATTGCATATTGAGTATATGATTGCACGAGATTGCATATTGAGTATATGATTGCACGAGATTGCATATTGAGTATATGATTGCACGAGATTGCATATTGAGTATATGATTGCACGAGATTGCATATTGAGTATATGATTGCACGAGATTGCATAGTGAGTATATGATTGCACTAGATTGCATGTTGAGTATTTGATAGCATGAGATTGCTTATAGATTAAATGATTGCACGAGATTGCATGTTGAGTATTTTATAGCATGAGATTGCTTAGAGATTAAATGATTGCACGAGATTGCATGTTGAGTATTTGATAGCACGAGATTGCTTAGAGATTAAATGATTGCACGAGATTGCATGTTGAGTATTTGATAGCACGAGATTGCTTAGAGATTATATGATTGCACGAGATTGCATGTTGAGTATTTGATAGCATGAGATTGCTTAGAGATTAAATGATTGCATGAGATTGTATGTTGAGTATTTGATAGCATGAGATTACTTAGAGATTATATGATTGAACGAGATTGCATGTTGAGTATTTGATAGCATGAGATTGCTTAGAGATTATATGATTGCACAAGATTGCATGATTGAGTATATGATAGTATGAGATTGCTTAGAGATTAAATGACTGCATGAGAATGCATAGTTGAGTATATGATGACATGAGATTATTAATAAGATAAATATGTGATAGTATGAGCTTGTTGATAAGCTAACTAATTGTGAAAGCATGTCTATTTGTCAATTAGGTTGCAAACATATAGAAACCCTGTTAAACATGTTTAAGTGTTGCCTAAGTGATTGAGAATACTTAATCTAAGTATGTGAAACAAATATTTTCCAAAAGTATATACTGTAGTACTTTACAGGGTTGAGTGGTATATATTTAGCTTCGTGCTAACGGGTTTGTTTTCTACTTGTTTTTGTTAACCCCTTTCAGGTGGGCCCAGTTCGTGAGAGAGTACGAGTTAGACTAGACTAGCATAGTTAGCTTTTGTAGTCCAAACTCTTGATGTTTGATTTTGAGATTTTTAGTTGACTACCCTTGTTTTGTTGGTGCTGGACACTGGGGTTTTATCCCCTAGTTTGACTGATGTTAGTAAAACTTTAATGGTTTAGTTGGTTTAATCTTAGCCTATGCAGTCACCGTGAAGGGTGGCTATGGCGGTGACACCTCTATTAAGTTGTTTAGTAAATTTTATTCCGCTGCCTTAGCTTATCTTTCAAGGTTAAGTTTGTTAATTAAGTTTAAGAAAAGTGGGGTGTTACAATGTCCGCCTCCAACCCGCCTAGCAGAAGGTCATCATAGGCTGACAAGTCCAATTCCCCGTCCTGAATGTAGTCAGACAACAAATCACCAGAGTACTCAACCCCTGGGAAAGGGTAAAGGCGCCCTAGCGGGCCAAGTCCAAACCAGTTATCCCACCAAAGGTTAACATCACCGTGAGTCAGGCGCCAACCCAAGACTGCCTCCACCTCATTCCTGACGCTGAGCATGCGCTTCCAAGTGTGTGAATCAGAACTTCGCACTAATTTTGCCACCGGGTGAACACGGCTACTGTAACACCCCAAATTTTTGAAACATTTAAAGCTTATGAGATAAAGGAAAATCTATCATTAATACCCAAACAGAGTAGAAACTAAACATAAAAGTCGGAGTGCTATGCCACATCTAAGCTTGAGAACTTAGATGCACAGGCTAAACTAACTAAACAAAGCATAATCTAAAGTTGCTAATGAAAACACAATTCAAGGCACGCAAGCCATCTAACTTCGACTATAACTATCTAAGCCAAATCCACATGTCCATCTAGCGCACTCCGAAGTTACTGATCAGTACCTGAAAAACATACGGTGTAACAACCGTCCGCGAATAATGCTGGTAACCCACTTCTACGCGTTGAGTACAATATAGGTAGCTATATAAGAAAATCATTTTTGAGACTGGAATACATATATTATCCTAAGCAAACTCTAGCTTTCAAACCAAGATCAAGACTCAAGACATATCAGCAGACTCGACACTATAAAACAACATAAAGGTACTAGCATGCAACCTAAGACCACGAGACAAGACAATAGCAGGACACGACAATAAACTGGATGTCATCAAACAACATAAGGATACTAGCATGCAACCTAAACCACAAGACACTATAAGCAACAAGATACGAAACAACAACAACACGTGTCCATGATCCAGGCTTATACCAAGTTCCAACCTTTACACCTCTCCAACCTCATTTCGGTTCCAACCTGTACCTCTAGGCCACCCTTATAACGCCTCCCTTATTCCTCCGGAGCAGCGCATGCTCCCTACCGACATACCACCAACAAGATCACCGATCTCTTAGCACCGCAGTGCCATTAAACAGATTGTATCGCAACACAATTAGTACATAACATGGGCACTGCAGCACCACACGTCAAAGGTACTGCAGCCCGTCACATAAGCACGCGTAGTGCATCAAACCACCAACATAGCTCTTTTCTCATCATGTATAATCAATCACAACAATCAATACTCAGTAGTAATCACAACAAGAACCAATTCTCAATAACAACCACAGTACTCAATACCTCAAAATACTACAACAAGGGGGTAGTCAAGGGAAAGGGGACAACAAACACGTAGACTCTTATCAACAATTGACATCAATACAAACACACAATCCACGAGGAACAGCTTAGGCTCTACCTCCCATGTCAACAAGACATTACAAGACTTACATGGGATCATACAAACCTCATCCTAGGCCAACGAGATACCAACTTTAACCACATGTAATAACCAAGACTCACAACTCCTAAAGTGGTACCCCAAAACATCAAACTAGACTCACAAACATCAAACAGGACACACGGGGCACGGGGAAAACACAAAACGGGGGAAAACAACACACCACCCGCCCGTTCCAGCGGGCGGAACGGCGGGTGGTCAACCACTCACCGGAGGACGGTCCTGTACCAGCGGGTACACCAGCGGGTGGTCGTCCACCCGCCGGCCACCCACTAGTACGGGAGATCGTACCGACGGGTGGTCAGGTGGGGGTTCGTCCCCCCACCGACTACCCGCTGGTACACCTGTTTCTTGGCACTTCCACAACCCGGGAATTCATCACTTTTACCCAAAATCAAGTCTAAACACATCCCAACACATATCAACAACAATATGGACTTGAACAACAAGAATTAAGCCAAGAAACAACACAATTACATTCTAGATGCAAACCCTAAACATCCCAAGACTCAAGAATAAACACTTAATCATGCAAGAACATCAAGATGCCATCACATAAAACCCTAATGACAAGCCCTAAACACGCATAAACCCGAGATCATGCGTATAATCAATTACGAATATCAGGATCATCAAGATTATCAAATAATCACAACATAAACCCTAAGATAAGCTCTATCAAGACTCAATCACAAAATCACACATACGATTATCAAAGGAGCCAATAAATAAGATATAGCAAGGAAAATAGGTTTTGTAAGACATGGGTTACCTCTTAGCCTTAATCAATTCTCCCTTGGCTACTAAGGTCCTTCTCTAAGATTTTCCCCCGATTGATCTTCCTAGGCTTGGCGGTGGGGAATCCCTTAGCTAGGTTTCTTAGGGGATTTCGTGTAGTAGAGCTATGAGAGGGAAGAAGGTTCTAAGTGCTTTCTAATCCTCTATTTATATATTTAGGAATCCTATCTGGAATCTGAATGGTAAAGACCCACTTTCTTTATTCCTAACAAGCTTAAGGGTCTAGTTTAGGCAAGGGTCCACGATCCATTGTGGACCACATTAATTAATTAAGGGAATCCCAACCAAATTAAACCCTTTCTAGCTATTGTTACGGGATTAATTCAAATAATTAATCCGAGTTTAACGGTCGTTACACGGGGTGTTACAACTACAGGACTTAGCGCTCATGAATCTTCCCCACAGTGAATACACCTTGCGAAAATTCCACCAATGCTTTACACTCGATGCACATACCATCAGGTCAAGGTCAAGGAAACCCACACCACCTTCTTTTTTAGAGAGGGAGAGTATTTTCCATGACGCCTAATTGTAGCGTGCACCTCCCGACTGCCGCCAAAAAAAGCTCGCGAAGCACCGCTCAAGATCTTGAATAACCTGCTTAGGAGGAACACAAGTTGCAAAGAGATGTAAAGGGATAGCCTGCAAAACAGAAGTAATAAGAACCGCTTTCCCCCCCTTGGATAACAACCGACGCTGCCACCCAAGGCACTTAGCCTTAACTTTGTCCACCAAAGATGAAAAATAAACACACTTCTTCCTCCCCACATAAATAGGACACCCAAGATAAGTAAAAGGGAAAGGCTTATGAATGCATCTAGTGATATCCCTAATCCTACGAATAGTACGACCCGAAGTGTCAAGATGCATGTAAAAATCACTCTTAGGGAAGCTGACCATTTGACCTGATCAAATCTCCTCATATTCTTTTAAAGCTTGTATGACTTTGCAGATTGCCCCTTACCTACCAATACTAAAAATAATAACATCATCAGCGTAAGCTAAGTGATGAATATGAGGAGTACCAGCAGGCTGAGAGAATCTAGGGACTTCCTCGTTTAGATGCACTCGAGCAAGGAACATAAAAAGGATCTCTGCAGCAATGATAAAAAGAGTAGGGGAGAGTGGGTTTCCTTGCCTCAACCCACGGGACGAGGTAAAGAAACCCTCTTTGACCCCATTGACAATGACAGAGTACCACACATTTGAGACTGCACGATAGACCAAGTCAATCTAGACCTTAGAAAAACCCAGCCTACGCATCACCGAAACAAAGAAAAACCAGGAAACCCGATCATAGGCCTTAGCCATGTCTAGCTTCAACACTACATCCTAATTTCCTAACTTTATACCATGGCACATCTCAGAGGCAAATAAAACCTAAAGACTTGTACTATGAAAGTCATTATTGAATACACCCCCCCCCCCCCCCCTACTTCTTTTCTTTTTCAATTAATTGATATGATCAAAATACCATTCTTTCTAAATTTTAGTACACAAGTTTTTAAAAATATTGATTTTTATGCAACTTAATATTTTTATTTATTTTATAGTGTATAATTCAATTATTTCATTATAAAAATAATTTAAAATTTAAGCAAATGAGTTTGTTACCAAAAGTAAAAAAAAAATAAAAAAGAAATAAATAAATAAAGAAGAAGAAGCAAGTTTGTTTTCAAAATAAAGAAAACAAAGGCAAAAAATAGCAAAAGGGAAACGGTGAAAATAAATCAACTATAGATGAAAAAACAATTAGAATCTTAAATTATGCAAAAGTCAAATTAGATATCTCAACTCATTATTTTGATGCAATCGAATCAATTAGCTAATTACTTGCAGGTAACTGAAAACTATTTTAATTTGACATTTTAATTTAAATAAATTAATTTTTAAAATAGAAGGAAATTTCATTTTCACAAGAGAGGCCAACGAACTTTTAATTAAAAAAAAAAAAAAAAGTATTTGTTTAAAAAATTTGTCATGCAAGCTTTTTTACCTTTTTCTTTTGACTTTATTGGTTAATTGATTTAAGAATTTTTTTCTCAAAATGATCCCTCAATTATGACTCATTCTTAATTTTGTATTTCGACTTTCAATTGCACCCAGTATGATTCCTTAGACTTCTAAAAACTACCCCAAATTGGTTCTTCGTTACCTTTTGCGTCAACTAGGAGTTAAGTTTGGGGGTATTTCAGTCAGTTCACAGTTAATCCAAATTTTGGGAAATTCTTCGCGTTGTAGGCGCTAGGCGGTTTGGGTGGTTCTCTAGCCTTTCTTGGCGGCGTTCACGACGGAGATGACAACTCTAATGAAGATATCCTCTTTGAGTTTATCGGCGACGATTTGCCATTTGTATAGGAGTTTGGTGGCGCCGTCTGAGCACTGTGTTTCCTAGGAAAACGACGGTGGAAAATATAAATGCATGTAATTTGTGAAACCAACGAAGTTATATATACTTATATCTCCAGAGCAATTCCGAAGCTGACGCCGCCGCCGCCCCTATTTTCCCAGAACAGCTCCTCCCCCATTGCTTGCCAGTCAAGAATCTTCCCGTTAACGTCAACAATCCGGGCGTCTTCCACGTTGTCATCATGAACCCGTACGCGCCGCATTACTGCAATTACAATCCTGCATTACTGTAACAGAGGGGCTCTGTTGCTCGATGATTTGGCACCACAATCGCTGTCATCAAGCTCGAGCATAGCGTTCTCTTTGGCTTGCCCCGACTGCACGGTGTATAATCTAGCGGATCTGATGATAGCTCCGATCACGCTGAAAAACAGTACATGGGAAGTTGGAAACCATCTTAATTGAGGATGGGGAAGATCATATATAATTCAGTTAATTAATGGTGTTCTTATGTTGTTTTCAACGTAACTAGGATTTGTGTGATTCTCCTTCTCCCTACCTTACTGTTGCAATATTGTTCTTGTATATACCTACCCAAATGAAGCGAAGCTCCAAGGAACATGATCTCTATGATTGCTGCAATGATCACTCCAAAGGTAAAGGAGCACCAATTTGGATGCAATTGAAAGTCGAAATGTAAAATTAAGAATGAGCAATAGTCGAGGGACCACTTTGAGAAAAAACTCTTGATTTAATTACTCTATCTGTTTTATACTCTTTTTTTTTGAATGCCTGTTTTATACTCTTATTTTACCTGTTTTATTTATTCATTTATTTTTTAGTTTGTCCCAAAATATTATTTTCTTTCTAAAATTGAAAATCACCATCATTCTACTTTTCTCAATTTACCGTTATAAGTTTTACTTTTTTTATTGTTTTTATTTACAAAAGTGAAAAAAGTGATGAACATAATTAGAAAACACATAACATTTATGTTTAGAAAATACATCATATTTACTTTAATTCCTTAAAAAGGATACAAAAGATAAATGTGACAATTAATTCACGAAGGAGGGAGCATATCAATTTAACAAGTTAATCAATTGACATATTTAATTAAAATTTTTTATAATTTAAGAATTTAATTACTTTTTCGCCTATAGTCCGCTGGCTTATTTGAGTTTAAAAAAAAAAAAAAAAAAAAAATCAATTATGAGGCAGCCAATCAGCGCAGTTTTACTTTCCTACCCCTACGCAGCCGCAGGCAGAGAGAGGTACTCACAATGGGTGTAGGCGCGTAATAACAAGCGATATCCAATGGTATTTCCGTCATTAAATCTCTATAAATACCCCAACGCTAATCTCTGCACTTTTTCTTTTATCTGGTAGGCTATTGTCCATCTCTCCGCTCTATCCTTCTCTCTCTCTCTTCGAACCCTCTCGCTTAGCTACTGCGCAAAATCGAAACCCTCCTTCCTCTCCATTCATCTCTTTTAAATCGGGAGAAATTTAGGCGGGAAAGATGTCGGGAAAAGGAGCTAAGGGTTTGATTATGGGGAAAACCTCAGTTGCTGCGGCCAACAAAGACAAAGACAAGGACAAGAAGAAACCCACCTCGCGCTCCTCTCGTGCTGGTCTCCAGGTTCATCTTCTTCCTCGACCCTCTCTCTCTCTCTTTACGTGTCTGTGAATGTCTGTCTATATATGTATCTTCTTAATCGACGCCCTTATTCGCTTTGTCCTAGACTAGTGTTTGGTATACTCTTGAATTCATAACTTTACAACGTAAGTTTATGTTGTTTTTTTTATGAAAATTTGTTTGCTTCTTAGGTAAATGCTTTGGTTTATTACATTCCTCTTAGTTTTTTGTGGTCGAATGGTATATTGGTCTGGCGTTGTGCTGGTCATGTTTGATTGCTGATTCAATGCTTCTAAGGTTTGCTTGGTTGCGATTTGTTGTAGATCTATGGAATGGTTTTCTCTTTTGCGTTCTCAATTTTCTTTTACCGGTAGAGATTTTGTTGACAACTAAAGGAATGGTGTGGGGTAGTTCAAAGACTCGTGAATAAAATCTACAAATATTGTTTGCAATTGTGCTTTGACTTATGTAAAATTGTAAATTTAAATTTGGCAATTGCTGCTGTTGAATGTGTTGAGTATTAATTCTTCTTAGGGGACAATGATATGAAGCAGGTGATTTAGGAATTCAAAAAGGGTATTTTAGAGGAACATTGTTGTAGGTCGACTCTCTGAGGGGCATTTGTAGGATTCTTTTCTATGGTTGAAAACCTTTGCACCCTTTCTATTCCCCCTACCTTTTTCACCTTTGTCCAGTGTATTTCTAATTTATTTGTTTTCATAACAAAGAAATAACTACTTCTACAGACCTTATTGCAATGTAAGCCTTGTATACTGGTTCCCTGCTTTAGGGTAGAAGCTATTTACTGTTTTGATCTCTCAGTAATGTCATCCACCATTCAAACTTTTAGGTCTGTAGCCATTTAGCATGTGGTTGAATTGGCAGTGGTGGGCATAGTGTATTGCTTGTAGTCTAAGTCATGCATGATTCTAAATACTTTTCGTGATTCCAAAACTCTTTACTTTGGTGGTGGGGGTCTTTTTCCATCTAAAGGTGTATTGAATACTTAGTCTTATGCTTGGTTTTGGCCCTAGATTTTTTAAAATTTACCCAATGTTAGGCCACTTATTCTGAAAAGTTGGATTGAAGTTTTTTTACTAGTTTTCTGTTGAAAATTCTGCTATATATATATATATATATATATATATATATATATATATATATATATATATATATATATATATATATATATATATATATATATATATATATATTTTGGATGACGAGGGAACCTCACAATCCTTTCGAGTGTGTGTAAACCCCGCCTTGTGACCCTAGTCGTTAATGGACCACAAGGAAGTAAAACCAGTCTAGGTTACCCATAGCTGACCAACTCAAACCAAGGGGGCAAGGATTCGAACTCATGACCTTGTGGTTACAAGCATGGATCACTTACCATCTTGGCTGGGCAAGGATTCGAACTCATGACCTTGTAGGGCAATGTTGTGGAATTACATCTACAGAGCATGATCGGAATTTAATAACAAAAAAATCGATAATGAACTACTTTTCTGGCTAACTGTCTTTTGTCATACACTTGGACTGTAAATTAAGTGTGTTTCTCTCTCTCTCTCTCTCTCTCTCTCTCTCTCTCTCTCTGTGGTCTTCATATGTTACATTTGTGATTGAAATTCAGCAAGTTATCTTGGATACATGACATGAGAGTTTCCCTTTTGTGAAACATTTGCAAAATGCAGTTCCCAGTGGGGCGTATCCATCGTTTGCTGAAAGAGAGAACCACAGCAAATGGCAGGGTGGGAGCTACAGCCGCTGTTTACTCTGCCGCTATCCTGGAGTATTTGACTGCTGAAGTGTTGGAGCTGGCTGGAAATGCGAGTAAGGATCTTAAGGTGAAACGTATCACCCCGAGGCATTTGCAGCTGGCAATCCGAGGAGATGAAGAACTGGATACGCTGATCAAAGGAACAATAGCTGGAGGGGGCGTGATCCCGCACATCCACAAGTCACTCATCAACAAATCTTCCAAGGAATGATATGTCTACAAGATTTCATTTCCTGCCTGTTGGTTTGTGTCCGGAAACAACATATACATGGAACTGTGTACTCATCAGTTTGTTTCAATGTTCCATCTAGGTTCTGATTAGCTGTTAGCGGGTGCTATATTGAACATGGTTCGTTTATGATTTTATGACCACCCTGTAATGTGTTTACCCATATTGCATCTATCTAGCTGTGGCTCTACTCTAGGCTCGCTTTAGTTGTTCTGGACAGGGGTTCTCTGTTGATGCTACTACAATCACTTATTAACTGATTTTAAGGTCTTAACATAGCTTGTGAATCACTACTTTTGACGTCTCAACTTTGAAAGGTCAACTGTTCGTTGCATTACCAAAAATTATGGATTTTTTTTTTTTTACTTTTGGTCTCTTGATTATTATACATGAATCACATTTGGTCTTTGACTATTAAATTTTTTTAATTAGGTACATGATTATGTAATTTGTATTAAATTTAGTTTTGCGGTTCAATTTTGGCAAATTATACTGTGGACCATGGTCAAAAACGGTGTCATTAAAAGAAACGACACTTGTTCTGCGGCTCTGCGCTGTTCTGCGTAAAGTTACTTTGCTTGTATAACATTTTCGGTTTCATTTTATATACATTGTAGTCTCATTTAAGCACAACTACAATTTCATTTTGTTCCAACTACAATTTCATTCAACATTATACATAAAATAGTCTTATTATAGTGAGACATTATTGAATTTTATTTTATACATACACTGTAGTCTTATTACAACACCATTAAATTATAATTCTAATTCAAGTACGGTTAAATTATAATTCTAATTCTAAGTCAAAAAATTCATGATATATTAAAGAAAGACCAAGATAGAGTCAGGAAGAATAGAATCTTATTACAACGTACCAGCCTGAGTAAAGGCTATAGAAGCAAGAGTATGAGCTATTAAATTAGCTGATCTAGGAACGAACTATTAAATTAGCTGATCTAGAAACGAAACTAACAAAACACTAATTAAACATAGACATGATAGATTTGCACCCATCAATGGTGTACCCAATGTAAGAACAAAGCGTAACACTGGCCGATGACATGTAACGCTGAAGATTAGAGCGATCCGTGAAGAGTTCCACCATCAACACCCCCCGATCCTTAAGCAACGACAAAACTTCTTTGCACGCCATAGATTCCAATATTCCACCATGAGAGGAGAAAGGCAGTCTGGCAGATGGCCACGGAAGGCAGCCACGAAACTGCCACCTGGGGAGAACAAAACAGCGCCCACAGTGGCTTTACTTGTCACTGCATGGTAGCCTGCGTCGAAGTAGCACAGGCGTGGCAGTTGCGGGCTGGCTACAGACAGCATCGGCAAAGCTGGGCGGCGGACTGCTCCGCGTATGGACATGCCGCCATGCACGCAACGCGGTACCTACCGCCGAGACCAACCTCCTCGGCAGAGGCAGCGAGGCTTCCCATACTGCGGTGTTCCTTGCTCCCCAGACGTGGTATAAAACAATTGTAGTCATTATAAGATCATCAGTAGATAAAACATCCATAGCACTAGCAAACCACATGGGGAATGTGTTCGCAACAATATTAGAGGTTTGTAAGGAAGATTCACGCCAAATAGATTGGGCATATTCACACAAAATTAGAGCATGGTATCTTCATTATAAAAGACTACACATAGAGCATGTAGGATCCACTTCAACCCTTTTAAAGTCAAGCTTGTCATGGATAGAACATTATTTAAGGCTCTCCACAGGAAAATCTTCCACTTGAGGGAGGGGGGGGGAAACTTTTATTTTTCACAATGGGGTCCATTTGTCAAAGGCACTCAGGTGCCAACATAATTTTTAACAATAAGCCTGTAGCCACTCTTGACAGAATAACGATCCTACGTTTTCCTCGCCAATACCAAGAGTCATTATAGTTGGGGCTAATGAGAATTTTAGAGATACGGGCCACATCACTAGGAATGAAAATATTAGTTAGAATAGATAAGTCCCATGAGTTAGTAGTCTGATCAATCAAACTAACAACCTTAGAACCAATCAATTAAGGAGACATAACAATAACCTTAGAACCAATCAATTAAGGAGGCATAACAATCTGTACCATTGGGTCTGGATCATCCAGAAGCCAGGGGTGCCCCTTATTAACATAGATTCGCCATTCCCAATTCTCCGCCTAACACGTACCACTACAAATTAAATCCTGCTTTGCCAAAATACTACGCCAGCAGTGTGATATCCCGCATTTTCTGAGTTTGGTAAGCTAGTATGCTCGTAGAAGAGTCAAGGTGGAATTCATTCGTTGTTTCGATTTTATTCTCAATCACTCCAATGTTATTTTCTAAGTGTCGCATATTTAAATCAGCCCATTTTAAATTGTTCCACAATATTATTTGGCCTAAATTGCATTGAATTTATTTTATTATAATTCTCTTCAAGACTATTCCTAGTTTCCAAATTCTTGATTCCTAATTTTATTTTATTTCTTGGTCTCCAAGTCTAACCTAATATTTTTCCTTTCCTAACCCTATTATAATCTTAATCCTAAAATTCTACATTGCTATCTCGTCATTAGGAAACCATATATATATACCAAATTGTTTATTAGCAACCAAAACCCTAAGTGCGTGTGTGTGTATATATATATATATATATATATATATATATATATATATATATATATATATATATATATATATATATATATATACTAGTTTTTTACGCGCATTGCGCGATTGAGATAATGCCCAATGTTTTTTTTTTTTTTTTTTTTTTAAATAAGTACTTTAAAGTATATCAAGGCAAGATTATATTGGAATTATTCATGCATAGATAATTGAATGTTAAATTTGTGTATTTAAATAGGAAATTCTAAGTTTACAAATGCAAAATAATATAGTCAAGATAGATTATAATTGTCAATGAAATAATTCTATAGGTATGGTTGAAACCAAATACGGGACATAAGGAGAGAAAATAAAAATTTGTGCATAAAATATTAAATATATACTAATATTGAAGAGCTAACTCCTGATTGCCAAACAAGGACATTGCGAGATAGTTTCCACTTCAATTTGTTGTGTGATTTGAATACTCTTTTTGTAAATAAATCTCCAGAGTAATTAATATGATTGGTTTAATTATATTTTTTTATTTCTTTATTTTTTTAAAACAATTATTATTATTATTATTATTATATATTTTTAATTTTTTCATCGTATTAATAAAATACTTGGTAAATAAATATATAGCACTATTTTGTATTATAACTTTGATATTTAAATAAAAAAATAGTGCACAGAAAAAGATAAATGTAGTGAATATAATCAATTGATGAATTTGTACATTGGAGAAATATAAAGACAATATAACTAATAAAATTATTTCTCTTAACTAATTTATTGATAATGAATAATTTTTTTTTTAATAAAGACATTGTAGGGACAATGTAGCGAATATAATCAATTGATGAATTTGAATGTAAAGAATTTTTATATTGGAGAAAAATAAATACAATATAACTAATGAAATTATTTTTCTTATTTAATTTATTGATAATGAATAATTTTTTTGAATAAAGACATTGTAGACACATAATTCTAAATTAAAGAAATGCATATGTATTATTTTTGTTGTAGCTACTAAATTATTATTTAATTTAGTAAGAGTAAAATAGAGTAGTAATTATGCCAACTTTGATTGGGATGGGGTTCGAACCTAAAACCTTTCTTATTGAATTCAATGAGTAAGTTAACGGCGAACTAACAGAAATTAACGGAAAAGATAATATTTAACGGAAAATCATATTTATTAAGGATAAATTAGGAAATCTTAAGAAAAAATTAAAATCTGATCATTCTTAGCCATTCATTTGATTAAAAAAATTGACCGCCATTTTTTCTACCCATTATAGGCCTAACTCTCTTGGCTTCTTATTAGTATAGTAGATATATATATATATATTGTTAGGAAGAATCGCACTCAGGTGCGAATGCTTCGACCAGGCGCGAAATAGGAATGGATTCTGTCCGTCCACGTGTCCAGATCTAATGGATGAGAAACACTGATTTTTTAAAAAAATGCGGTGGCATTTTCGTAAATAATTGAACATCGAAGTGCAAGTAAAATGTATTACAAGTGCATGTAAAATGTATTATCGGTGCAAGTAAAAATTTACACTGAGCATCAATACTTACTTGCACCTATAGTTCTAAGTAGTTGCACCTATAGTTCTAAGTAGTTGCACACATAGTTATAAGTAGTTGCACCTAGGTGTATGAATGTTTGCGAGTGGTTTTCAGGGGTATTACTACCCGCTGAACTCAGATCAATGAATGTTAACAAGGCAAAATTACATGCACTTATAGGTGAAAGTAGGTGCACCTATAGTTATAAGTAGTTGCACCTATAGTTATATATAGTTGCACATATAGTTATAAGCACACCCAGGTGCATGAATGTTTGCGGAAAGTGAATGCTAACAAGGCAAAATTACATGCACTTATAGGTGACAGTAGGTGCACTTGTAAGTGATTTTACTTGCACTTCGATGTTCAATTATTTACGAAAATGCCACCGCATTTTTTTTTAAGTTATTAGATCTGGACACGTGTCGCGCGCTGATTCGTTCGCATTTCCCTCCTGAGCACTTATTCGCACCTGAGTGCATCCCTTGTTAGGAATATAGCGGAATAATGCGGAAGCGAAGAATCGAAAATTGAGAATTATAGAAGTTAAATAATATAAATAAGGAAAATTATATAAATGACATATGAATTAATAAGGATGGGAATATATATATATATATATATATATATATATATATATATATATATATATATATATATATATATATATATATATATATATATATATATATATGGTCAGGTTCCTGTGAGGTCAGGTCTTCCCGTGCGGTCAGTGCGGCATACACCATTAGGTATGCATAAATGCACCACACAGTGTTCGTAAATACACCATTATGTGTGGTGTATTTTTTTTTTTTTTTTTTTTTGTGTGGTGTATTTTTTGGCATTTCATTACGGTGTATTTTCGAACACTGTATGGTGCATTTATACATACCTAATGGTGTATGCCGCACTGACCGCACGGGAAGACCTGACCTCACAGGAACCAAATATATATATATATATATATATATATATATATATATATATATATATATATATATATATATATATATATTAACCTCTATAAAGAGAATTAGAAAGGAAAAATATATATATAAGTACGTGAGAAGAGAGGAAATTGAATGAATGATGTAAGAGGTGTCTTACAAAGCAA